TGCCAAGAAATTTGGAAGACAACTATCTGGCTGACTGATTGGAAGAGATCCATATTTGTGCCCATTCCAAAGACAGGTAACCCTGGGCAGCCAACAAACATATGAAGAAATGTTCACAATCACTAGCCATTAGAGAAATGCAAATCAAAACAACAATGAGATATCATCTCACACCAGCAATAACAGCAAAGATCAAAAAAGTTGAGGGCAATAAATGCTGTCGGGGATGTGGAGAGACTGGGACACTCTTGCACTGATGGTGGGACTGCAAAATGGTCCAACCTCTCTGGAAAGCAATATGGCGCTTCCTCAGAAGGCTGAAAATAGAAACACCATATGATCCAGCAATTCCTCTACTTGGTATTTACCCATAAGAAAAATGAGCCACAACATGTGAAGATATATGTATACCAATATTCATAGCAGCACTATTTACAATAGCAAAGAGTGGAGACAGCCAAAGTGCCCATCGACTGAAGAATGGATAAACAAACTGTGGAACATATACACAATGGAATAATATGCTACCTTGAAGAATAACAAGAAAGCTGCAAACCACCAGTTAACATGGATCAACCTTGAGGGCATTATGTTGAGTGAAATTAGTCAGTCACAAAGAGAAATACTACATAGGACCACTACTGTAAAAGACTAAGAAAAATAACCCATACTAAAGGGGGGTGGGAGGATTCTTTGCTGATTGTTGGGATGTAGGGGGTGCAGTGAGGGGAGGGACAGAAAGGTAGCGCACAGGGCAGGGAACAGACACAGGTTAGTTAGGGTGCTGGGGAGGGGAGCAATACACAAAAGGGGAGAGGGGAATGGAAGAACAAAGCAGAGGGGAGAACAAATAGATTTGCATGGACTAAGTGGGACAGAGGTAAATAATAATGTATACACAACCTTGGAACAACAGGGCGAGGGGGTACACGGATTACGATATGGTTGGAATAGGGAAAAAGGGGGAAATAATGTTAAGATGCTTGGCGGTCTACTGAATCTTGGTATTCCTTGCATTACATTATAAAATAGGCACTGGAAGGGGAGAGACAGGGAAAGCCAGAAATATCACCATAAAAAACTTGTAAGTCCATCTTCTGCCTATAACTGATTGTTGTTGTTGTTGTTAAGTGCCATCGAGTCGGGTCCGACCCATAGCGACCCTGTACAGGGTTTCCGAGGGTGTAAATCTTTACGGGAGTAGA